TAATCGTTCAGTGGACATTTTATGTTTTTGAAATCATATTTCCTGAAGAAAAATACTAAATGAAATAAAAATTTATAATTTATATTATGTATTGATTTTAGATATTTTAGTTTTTTTATTTGGTTTTATATGGAGTATATTTTATTTTGTTATATTTTTGTAGTTCCATAAATATTAAATAAACTGAATTTTTTTAGAATAAGTATAAATATTTCTTTGTTTTAATTATTTTTTGTTTTTCTGTAAAAATTCGAAAACCGGTTTAACCGGATTTTTTTTTGGAATACTTGAATTCGAAAACCAGTTTTTTCAAAAGTCGGTTTTTGTATAAACCCTAGATGGAGGGCTTTGGTTAATTCGGTGATGAACCTTCAGGTTCGGTAAACCATCTAGTTAGTTAGTAACAAGGGCGTGGTTTCAGGCACAGGACACCCAGTTATTTCAAATTAGCATCAACAAACTGACGTACCGGTGGGATAGGAGGCGACTGTGTGGAAAAGTTGCTCTAGTGTAGACTACAATTATGAGTGTAGTATGCAGAAATGGTCATCTGTGTGAAATAAATTAATGAAATCAACTTTCGTGTATTTTCGCTGCCTGGGACGACCATCACGAGTTAGGAGGCGTTGTTAAAGCTGGTAATAGGGAGTACATTGACACGAAGACAAGTGCGCAGTTGATGTCTACTCTTTGCAGTCTCTGCAGGAGGAAAACTAAGATTCTGTATCAGATATCAACAATCTGTATGCATAATATATACGTTGAATACTGCATAAAGCTGTGTGTTATGTCTCACCGGCTTCACATTTCACATCTCAGCAATGCAGTTGATATTACTGCAGGACAGTCAGCATCTTCAGTACCAATGGCCTGTTTGATGGTGTAATTCCTTCCTTTCGCTCTTTAAATATTGTTATCTTTCGACTGGTTTGTGTGCCTCGTTCGATATCCAAAAGTGTTTATAGACACGACCTGAAAGATTATTCAAGTTATAGGCTACACCCCAAACAAAAAAGTTATTCGTCATCCCAAACACTTCTTAAAAGGAACTGGGCAAGTGCAGATAATTTTGAAAAATAAAATGAGTTATTATTGTTATCGATATTATTTAATGAGTATTACCGTCATCAATACTGTGTTCAGGCCGGCCCTGGGACCTTGTTAACCTCTTTAAAAAATCAACATGGCCGGAGCGTGAAGTTGAGTACTTACATCTGGTGCTGACGTTAAAAGTGCGTGTTAAAATACCTCTACTCCTCCTTTGTCTTCATGGCACGATGTTAATTAAAAGCATAACGGACAGCTTTAAAACTATTCTTTAATGTATGTGTGTATTTCAATCATCTACACTTTCTTTTGTCTCACTACTCAACGGCTGGCACAGGAGAAAGCATTCGAAAGTTACTGCCAACACATTAGCATTAAATACGAAGACTGAAACAAAGTCCGTTGATGTAGGCATATGAGTTAACGATCTTGCCGGATCGCCGGATTTAGCTCCGTGTGACTTCTTCCTCTTCCCAAAGATGAAAATTCAGCTAAAGGGAAGGAGATTTGAGACGATAGAAGAGATTCAGGCAGAATCGCAGATGGTGCTTGACAGGCTGACAAAGAAAGATTTCCAGGGATGCTTCCAGGCTTGGCAGCGGCGCTGGGATCGTTGTGTTCACTCCCAGGGGAACTACGTCGAGGGTGATGGATGAATTTAATACCTGAGATAAGTGTACGGGTTTTTATACGCGCAGTCTTGAAACTTTCCGATTGCACCTCGTACTTCGCCTGTGTCGTAAGAAAAAACTGAAATCGCGAAAAAAATGTGATATAATGCACTACGTCAACCGCCAACAGACTAGCAAGTCGCGTGTTAGCACTCGAGGTTTGGCTAACATTTTAGCTTTCAAGGTCACGCATTTCCTCCTCCTCCTCAAGCCTATACTCAGTCACAGATCATGTTCTTACGCATGCGCAAAACAGACTGGGACAGTGAAATATATTAATTTCCGCCATCATTGTGTTTATACCCAAAACATTTGTCATAATCGGAAGCTGTTCCCGTGCCTTGAATACGTTGGCTACTGAGAGGGTCACCAGTGGGTCTCAGAGGGTCCATTTCAGTACCGTGAGAGACACCGGTGGGTCGAAGAACCATAACTGGTCCAATTCAAATGCATGCAAAATTACATAAAGAGAGATTTCTCATTAACAGTTAATGAAGAATTTAGGGTAATAGGTGTGTTTGCTATGGAATTTTATTAGACATAGTAAAAATGTCTTTTTATTGATTACAGTGCACAAAGACCAAATTTACGCCTAAAAACGTTCTCTCTCGACTTTTGCCAATTTAACTCTGATTATCTCTGCGATACCGAGTGTTATTAAATAAACAATAAATCCAAACTAAAATAAAACTGAAGCAACTGGTGTCCTCATCGGCAGTGTAGTTATGTTTATCCGTGTGCCGCTTGTAATGTTTCTTCGGTACTTTTTAAACGCTTCCGAACCAACCTACTACTTTCATTGCGTAAAATCTATCCCCTAGTAACAACATTCAAACTACATGGCAAAATCTTTCAAACCCGGCGTGATAGACAAACACAATTTTAGTTCTGTTCGAATAATTTTTAAGGATCACTTTTCTTAACAGCGTCAGTGAATTTATCGAGATATTAAAAAAACAAAGCCTCAACGAAGAATCTAAATACCATTTAAACGTGAACAGAGCAAAGATCACGTTCTTCAAGAAATGTGTGAAGGTGCGAATATGGCGTATCCACAAGCAGAACGCGTGTTTATTCTCTAACAGTATTTGGTATCGAAGTCGTTTGCTTCTGTACGCGAAGAATTTAGCAATGCTCATCGCGACACAAGAAGTGGTGTTTATCTGTGACAAGAGCTCGTCGAGGGACATAACAGCTGAAATTACGGCCATACCGATTAGCAGTTATCAGCTGCAGGAATTCGATACTGCCATTGGTTTCGTCGTCTTGTGCATGAATGGGTCCATGTTTCGTATCCAGGGTTGAGTTTTTAATGGAAAGGCATTTATACGTGTCAATTGGATCCTTCACAAGTTTAATTAAACTTCAATAGACTTCTCACTAGCAAGTTGGGCTTGGAGATGAAGACGAAACTAGTGAAGTGTTACGTATGGAGCAGAGACTTGGACACTCAGGAAGAAGGAACAGAAATACCTGGAGAGTTTTGAAATGTGGTGTTGGAGAAGAATAGAGAAGATCAGGTGGACGGATCGAGTGACCAACGAAGAAGTATTGAGGAGAGTCAACGAGCAAAGAAGCATTCTGCAGGCGATTACACGAAGGAAAGCTAACTGGCTGGGACATATTATGAGAAGGAATGGGTTACTGAGTGATATCACCGAAGGCCAGGTTGAAGGAAAGCGAGGACTGGGAAGAAGATTGATACAGCTAACCGACGATCTTAAACAAGGAAAGAAGATGACGTTCCAGGAATTAAAGCGAGAAGCCGAGAATAGGGACAACTGGAGAGCTCTTTTTGGGCAGAGCAATGGACCTGTCGTAAGACAGAACACTTAATAATAATAAGACTTCTTTTAACTTTTATTACACATGCATTGCCGTGTACAAATTTAATTAATTTCATTTCACTACTCATAAGTCTAGACTAAAAAAAAAAATTAACGTGGTGTGGAGGCCACTTTGGGCGGATTTTGACGAAACTTTATATTCTACATTTCTGTTGTAGGAGTACATTTAAAAAAAAATATTAATCCAAGTTAAAGCATACATCTTCTGATCATGCTGCATAAAGGAAAATATATTTTTTAAGTGTCATTTAGAATTCCCTCGAGGTTGCTCAGTTTGTTATTACTCCACTCAATTAGTGCCCTGTTCGAGATTCGAAGCAGTTACCTTCCGCAAAGAAATCGGCGCATGACGTCTTATCCAGTCTGCTAACATTTATCAACATAAATGTGGTTATAGACCAGCACAACCGATATGGAATCCACTGTAAAGCCTAGTTTTAATTAATTTGTTGATAAAAGTTGCACTGTCAATCACGCATCCTCTAGCTTGGCTGTGCTGTTGACGGCATAACTTCTGGGAGAACTGGACCGATAATAAATCGCATCCAAATAGCTCGTCTTTCCTGGATTCAATCCAAAGTTGGAACCACAGCCCGCTGTGATGTCTAGTGGCCTTGAATATCAGAATGTGAATTCTAAACTACGAATTTGGACCCACGCAACAATTCAACATTTATTCAACATTTACTATTGAGAATGCCCTCGAATCTAATTTCTGCCCCGAAATAGGTCACTTCAGAGTGCCAATCCATTCTATAACGCCAACTGATCATTCTACGGACAATAACAGCTTGGGTCGACAAGCAAAGTGCACAAACAACAACAAAATGTGCTAATATCCGATTATTATTTATTATTATTTAGTGTTCTGTCTGACGACAGGTCCATATGAACAGGATCCTTCCATCCTTTTCTCGGACTGGGACCTGTTCATATATACGTTCTTGGCAGATGATCCAGAAGTGGTTTGCCATTGCCTTCTTCTGTGTGTGAATGGAGTAATTGTTGGGATGCCACGGAGAAACCGGGGAAGCCCCCGGAGGAAAACTCCGTGTTGCCTAGACCACGGTCTTGCCCAACACAAGTTATAAATTCGGGCACCGCCGGGAATCGAACCCGAGACCCCATGATTACAAGGCCAGCGTTCTGACCGCTAGACCACCGTGGCTCAAATATCCGATTACAGATAGATATTTTATCTGCTAACAATCAGTTACATTATATTTAATGTGCTAGCATCAGGTTACGAATTACAATGTTCCATTTTAATATTTGTTTGCAATTTTACAATGGATGCGCTATGATCTATTCCCAGACACGTTTGACAAGTTCCATGCCAGACCACGGCGAGATAGAGTCTATGTACCAATATAACTCTGTGACTCTAAAACACACTAAGATGTATCTCTATAAGTTTACCTTTCTTGTTCTACAGGTCAGCATGTACCAGGGAAGAAGTGGAATCGATGGAACGGTAAGATAAACTTATTAATCGAACTCAGAAAATTTTCATAGCCTGGGCTTTTAGAAACGCGGTTGGTGATCGTGTGATACATACATACGCTTTTTCCGTGTTAAAACAACGTGATTCACTTAGTTAAATTTTCGTGCGTTATGTGATTTAATATTTGAACTTTTCTACTTAAGAACCTTTTGATTTTATCTTTATATCAAAATATAGGTTTGTGACGTGTTCGCCCTCCACTTTTATAATATTTTACAACCGTTTGTAGCCCTGAGGTTGAGGTCAGCTATGGTCCTCGAAACGTCGAGAAATTTTGATCTTCTAACATGTCTGATAGCCAACCAATGTAACTACAAGTTCCACAGTAATTTTAAGTTAATCTCAGAAGAATCTGCTGGGATTACACTTTTCCATACGTATTCTGTTGCAGTGTTCCGTGTCTCTTAATCAAAGCGACTGAGTATCGTTATGGAAATAGAACACGGGTACAGGAAACGAGGTCGTTATAAGACACTAGCATGTCCTGTGAAAGACTATTGATTTATACGTCACCATAATCGTAAATCTGCGTTGTTCGCTGATCGGCGGTAACAAATGAAAGAAATGTTTATCAGATGTACGAGGTGCGATCGGAAAGTTTCAAGACTGTGTCAATAGAGGGCGAACCGGATATAGTACGAGCTTCTGCCGCTAGGGGGTGCGGCCTACATTCATAGTGAATCAGTGTGCCAGCCGGCATCATCGAATTAGCATTTGTTTCTTAGTTACGGGCGTTTTGGTAGTGCATTACACCGACCCTCCTGCGATTTCGGAATGGCGTGTGCATCAAATGTTGCCAAAG